CACCAACGGAAGATGAAGATCTGGCAAAGTTGAGTGTGTTGCACAAGCTAATCTCACCTCAGATGCAGGAGTCAGGCGAAAAGACGAGCAAGCTCGGGTCAGCAAAGAAGATGGAGCCGGGTAGCTGTCTGGATTCGGCGTGTGGGAACGGAGAGCACACCTGCGATGGACGGTCATGTGTCAGGATACTATCCTTTCAAAAAGAAGACCTGGTCACTTGGTTTGAAGACATCACGGAAAGGGAGAAAAATGAAGTGCAAATAGTTGCGGAGTGTTATGCGAGAACTACGGTGAATATAGCGACAGCTCTCGGATTCTTCTCGAGAATGTGTAGTCTGCAGTCACTGGAGAGGCTAGAGTCTGAACACCATTTAGTGACGGCGTTGAGCGTAGAATCATGGCCTGGGGTGTTGCAGGTGACTCAAAAACACATCCGGAGCTGGAAGGTTGGTCTCGAGGCGGAAATGGGGTTTCCCATGAGCGAAGCTTATGGCCTGCCATTGAACGCAAAATCCTTGATAGGGTCAATGATGGCCAACTTGTGCGGAAGCCACTACCCACTGCACATAGCGATGGTGGAAGCATCCAGCCAGAGAGTACTGGTGGACAAGGCCTTCTCAGTGCCCAAGTGCGTGAGGTTGGCTCGGATATCGCATCACTCGCACAAGTTGTTGAGAAAAATCAGAGGGACAGTACCGAAAGAGTTGAGAGATGACTTGAGTGAAATCTGGGGAGAAGAACTTTTGAAGTTGGAGAGTGAGAACACAAGCGATCACGAGAGACAAAACGTGTTTGGAAAACCTGTGGGAGGTGCTCCAAACATGGAAGATAACGACACGATGCATGAAAAAATGATAGAGCTTGAGCCTCTCTTGGAAGCCTCGGGGGAGCGTAACCTCAGGAGCATTGAGATCACCCATGGAGAATGCCCATGCCACTGTTTGGCACAAACGGTGTGGTATCCAGATCACAAGAACCTTTGCCTGGTGTGGGATATGGAAGAAATTCGGTCGATCGGACTACCGGATCACCGGCAGAAGGTGACGCTCTTAGGAGTGAGTACGATGTTGGCTCTGAGATGGATAGAAGAGAATATAACGAAGTATCGGGAAGCGACGACGCCAACGGCTGAGTCAATATACGCGATAGACTACAGCAGGAGACTCGAGTTGTTTGAGACTGCGTGCAAAGTATTCGCCATACCAACGGAAGTCAGACACGTATGGAGCCGTTTGAGGTACTTTCCATGGTTTTGGGCGACACTGACGTCTTGGTTGTACATGACAACGAAAGATCACATGAGGAAGCATCAAAAGGAGTATCGACAGTTCCAGGCCGAGATTGGGCCGGAAGTTTTCAAGAGACCCCTGTTAACCCATCGAAATGCGATCACGACAGGATGGAAGAGAGTGGGTAAAATGTCTAGAGACAATACCAAAGCGAGGGAATCGATACTAGAGGATGACCTGGCGAAGAACGTGAGCTTGAGCCTGCACAACTCCTTTTGTTTGAATCGGGAATCTAGGGTGAAGGCACTACCCAACCAGGCAAAGAGGTTGCAGGAGCAAAGAGAATGGATGCGATCCTATGAACAGCTGAAGGCTTGGGAGGAGATCGTGATTAGCTCCGATGATGAAGAAGAACTGTTGAGACAGTTTGCCGTATCTAGTACTTCAGGGTGCGGCACCTCCAAGGCGAAGAGTGCAAGATGAGTGGATGGTTCAAATGGATCTTGAGTCTTGAGAGGGGAGGGGGGCTTGAGTGTGGATCCGAGTGAAACTTGGATTCACGAAAAAGAAATTTTAACGAATCAAATATTGTTATTAATATACTATATTTACTATATAAATGAAAATGCTGCATGACAATTTCCTGATTGAATGGGACAAAAGAAATTTTAAATGATTGGCTTAAAAAGCGAGAATTCAAGGGTGCAGGTGTGTGCAGATTTTGATTGCTGTTTAGCGATAGTGTGAAAATTTTACATGGCCGTGAATTTTGGGGTGTAGATAAGCTTAAGTCTGCTGCAAACTTCTGTAAATGACCACTGGCACTGTACCTTGAGCAACACTCGGGTTTCTGGGGATTCACTGATAGACAACAGCACGCAATGAGGACATCGATCTCGATTCCGGGGAGTATGTGCCAGTCGGTCATATTTGGAAGTTTGACCTTGAGAGAAACAAAAAGCACTTGATTTTGGAGTGAAATTTAATTTTTCAAAAATTCGAATAGAGCCTGTCATGCACGATTTTCTCGCGATAACTGAAAGTCAAAAAAGAGAAGGAAGAACAATCGAGTGACAATCGCGGGAAAGTTGCAAGATTAATCAGTAGGAAATTGCCATTCGCAATTTCCGAGACAATAATAATCTAGAGTAGAGCTGTCCTATTTGAAATAGAAGACAGAGTGTTCCTGAGAACTGGACAATTATCCAACTGGTCAACTATTCGAACTGGACCAGAGTGAACCTTCGGTGGAAAGGTGGACAGTTTGAGTGTCCCAATGGTCCACATAAAACTGCATTCTAGAGTACAAACTTATTCCTGTTGTTGAAACTGGCAATTATTAAACTCAATTAGTTACACTATTTAATTCTTGAGTTGCTTACTGACTTAATTACTCCCAATTCTTGAGCGTGCTACAATGTGAGTACCAATTTAGAGTGTGTTTTATAGAGTGTGTTTTATAATTGTTATGTTGAGGTAAGGAGATTTTTAGGTTGATCCATCTGAAATGGATCAAAGTTCCACTGTCCAATAAAAAGTAACTTAACGGATTGTTCCGACCCGGTTTTTAACGGCGTTCATGTATTTTGGGTATTTAGAGACCTATGTATGGGGACGTTCTTAATTCTAGAGTGGGGGGATATTTTAGTAGTAGCCTTTAAGCTGTAACGGGTCGTAGTCTCATGTCATAAACGAACCGAATTGGCTCCGACTGATTTGAGGTAGAAAAACACAAGAGATAGTGTCCCTGACTCTTGAGCAATGGTTATAGGGCCTATTTTTCTTAAGCCTCATGTGTGACTACAGTAGACGAATGTTACATATACCCCTTACGGTCCGTTCTATATCCGATTTAAAGTGCATAGCTGGGAAACTCCTAACTCGGAGGGAGGGTCACTAGAGTGCAGTCACTGTCGAGCCCCCCTTCCAAAAAAATTGATATTGCACTTTCTGTACCAAAAAGATACAAAATTATCTAACGATACCGGTTAGTCGATTGTTGTTGTCCTTGACACCCATCCTGCTGCTTCTTGGACTGGTTGCTGGATTGGTCTTCTGCTCCAATCACCTGACCCTTTCGGATTTAGTGCAAATTAGCAATAAAGGACTTCAATACTCAACAACCCTAAAGTTCAGGTACAATAAAAAGGCTACAGGTTGATTTCAACCATTTTATGTTTAATAATATTTTAGTTTTCGGTTGTTTTTTTTTGGTTTTCTCTTAGGTTCTCTACTACTTTTTGTTTTGTTTCTGGCATAACTTAACGTGTTTTTGGTCTTATCCCGCTTAGATAACGCTTAGGCCAACCCTAAGCGTTATCTAAGTGTTTTTGGTCATATCCCGCTTATGCCAACCCCCCAACCCTTCACAATCGGCGAATTTCCGAACCACACTCTCGGGTCTTGGTTGAGGGCCTTAATTAGAGCACCCGGTCGGCTAGAGGGTCTCTTTGTGGTGTTCATCCGTCTAGAATAAAGTTGAAAAATCCCATTGAAAGATAAATCAGAGTACTGTAACAGCAATTGCTTCATTTTTGAACATTTTTAGAATTTCTGGTTTCCGCGCTAACTGCTGTATCGGAATCAAAAACTTGAATTCAGAAAAGAATGATTTTGCATAATCAGAATAAGTAGTCACAAGGTTTCTTTACTTAGTAGTAGTAATAGTAGTAGTTGAGGCTTCTGGGAAGTCACGCTTCCCAAGGGTTTATGAGTCCCGTCATTTACATGTTTTCATCAAGTTAAGTTTGAGTTTCGAGTTTTTTCCAGTTGTTACAGTGAGTGCATTTGCTGATAATTCTCCAAGTGCATCTGTTTAGATAATTGAATTTTCTGACAAAGTAATCCCAATAAAGTTTGCTTATTGATTTTTTGTCAAGTTGGTTCCCATATTCTTCGTAGTGTTTGATGACGATGTTGTGTAAGAGTTTCGTTCTGTGAAAAAAGTTTTCGTCTGATTTGTTCAGTCTGTTTTTGTTGACTGCATGTTCTCCTCTGCTGTGTTGGCGAGTTTTTTCTTCCTTAGAAGATTGGTAGAACTTCAGTTTTTACCAACAAGGTTTTTTTCAGTATACTGGTTTCCAATTGATCTTTCTCTCTCTCTCTCTCTCTCTCTGTTCTAATACAACTGTCCCTTTCCCGGGTTTACTCGCTATTCTCCTAAACTTCACTAGGAAAATGTAACCGAGATTACCGATTTTCTCAGCTTCGTCTTTATTCACCTCTTTTGGATGATCTTGACAAAACACCGAGTCAAGTGAAATATGTGATGAAGGGACCCTCGGTTACTATTATACTTTTGACGTGATTATAATACATTGTGCTACTTAATGGCCATTTCTGTTGTAACCGTTATAATTATTTTAATTTGAGATATAACATGATTGTTCTTCAAGGAAAAATTTCATCTGTTTTCTTCTGTAAATCTTTTTTCTATACAACTTCTGTAAACTGGAACTCACTATCGTCACATATTCTGGATATTAATTTAAGTCAACGTGTTTTCAAAAAAAGACTGAAAAAATATTTTCTAGAGATTAACTAAAATCAAATGTCGAAATAAGCAATGCTCATACTTGGCGTGATTTCCGGTTTAATTGATAACCCTTTAACTCAATTGTCAACAAAAATTTAGCGCTGCCACATTAATCTCTTACGTTCTACAAAGTATAGTTTGTTAAGTTACACTATTTTGTATATTAAGCATTATGCTTTGTCTATACATTAATAAAAGTGCCTTTCTCTCTCTCACACATCACTTTTTTTTTTTCAGTTTCAGGTTTTAATGATAATTTTGTGCAAGATCTGACTGAAAACGCAGATTGGCTTCGCAATGGAGGACGACAGCTTCGCCTTCTTTATTTTCTCGGGATTTGTTGCTGCATCGACAGTAGTGACATGGGCTATAGTCACTTACATATCGCGTGAGCGAAACTACAAGGACGTTGCCAAACAATTGCCACAAGATGATCACTCCTGGATGGAAAGTGATTCGCCTCAAGCAAGTCCTGTAAAGAGCAAGACAAAGAAAAGGTAAGCTCTGTGAATAAAGCTGCACGAACTTCGGTGATTATCGCCTTTTTTCTTTTAAATCCCTCCAGCTTAGTAACGAAAAAGTTAGAGACCAATTACACGGAAAATTTAAGTGATAGTGATATTTTTTGAGTAAGCCTGTTCTTTCGACCTTTTCACGAAGTGGAGGAAAAAACTATGGCGTTCGGTGTGTATTTTTTTCCGATGTTGACTACCTCAATGTGTATTATCATATTAGAGAATTTACAGCTAAAGTTGTCTGTGTAGAGAAAAACTCATCCGAACTTTTTCGATTGTCAAACCAATTTGACAAAACTGAGTTCCATCTTTTTTTAAATTATCTATACAATTTCAGCAGTTTTTCCCTCATTCAATCGCCATTTGCCAAAATTAAAGAAAAGAAAAGTATGAGAATATTTTTTTCTATTTTTTTTTGGATATATTTAAACTTTACTCATAATGGTCGGTACATTGTGCTTCTTGGAACCAGTCGGCTATCCTTGTTCGAATATGTGAAAAAATTTAACAGCTCATGCAATTTAAACGATATTTGATAGACTCAAATGTTTAAAAATGTTCCCAAAATTGAAAAAAGCACCCCGCTTATTTTAGTGCGAAAAATGCTGCAAAACAGGCCCAAAAATCAAAAGTAGAGGTTGTACAGGAAGAGGCCCCAAGTTACATAAACGAGGGACTGATTGAGGAAAATGTCACGATACAATCATTCAAACCTCCCACTGAAGTTAAACAAAAAACTCCTAAAAAGAAAAAGGAGACCAGCAAAAGCAGTGCAGCCGTCAGCAAAGGTCAGTTTTCAGCATTTATTATGTCTGACATAAGTCCTTCCGAGTTTTAGCCTCTCAAATTACCGTGAGCTAGTAGAGCTTCGCTTCCTACTGACCTATATGCCTGCGTAGATTGTATTCCTAGAAGACAGCGACAACGTAGATTGCTATGGGTTTTTGCACCCGTAATGTGATAACGCTAGTGGTTAGCAAGCGTTATTAAATCGGAAAACGCTTTCATTCATCATTTTCTCGTCGACCAACAGACATATTTTGGGAATATCTGCGTTTTAAATACCCTTTTTCTTTACCCTTGCGATAAGCAAGGTTATTGCAATCGGGTACTAGACTTTTTTCCCTTAAATAACTTTTGGAACAGGACTCACTCCTGGACCTGGACTCCCTCACCTCTTTGTCCTCGTTGCAAATCAAATCCTCTTCCCCTCTGTTGCAAATAATTAGCATGTTTTGCGTTTCATACTGTTTCATACTGATAAATATCCCAGCTTTTTGAAATTTGTTTTTTGTGTTGGTTGTAAGTTTTCCACCGATTTTTTTTGTTTTTTTTAAACAAAATATTTGTTGTCCTTTTTTTGGCTTGATAGATTTCGGTCTATGTTATATGTGCTTAGTGGCCTCATACTGAGCAGTTTACTTAGCAAAACCATTTTTGTGTGCGTAATGTTTTCAGCGAGTGATAATTTTGAAATTTTTTTAATTTCAAAATTTTTTGAAACTTTTCGGATTTTCGTTTGACCTTTTAGCGGCTTGATATGATATGTGCCTATTTTATATCGCCTTAGTGGCCTCACATTGCGCTGTTTGAAGTGCAACAAGTTTTCTATATGCGTGTATGTATTTTGAGGGAGAGGAGATTTTTTTAATATCCAATTTCTTAAATTGTGGCCTCTTATTGCGACGTTTGCTGTGCAAAAATTTTTCTGTGTGCGTGGGTGTGTTTTGAGGGAGAGCTAAAAATAAAATTTTTTATTAGTTTTAGTTTTTTGAGCTTGAAGGATTTCTGCTCAGATATTTTCGGCATTGTTACTGCTGGGTAAGTTTTCTTCCGATGCTAAATTTACATTCTTTTGTCTGGGCATGTTTTTTTTTCACATATATCTCATTTTGATAGATCTTGTTGCATGTATAGTTATAGAATTTTGATATTTTCATTGTTTGGTTGATGGTTCTTCGGCTTTATTGTTGTCGATTAAGCTTTCGGTTTAATTTTCAAAATGTGTATATCACCTTGAATTCAGTACATATGTGACATATATGGACTGTACATGGTTTTCAAATTCCGCTTTAATTCCGTCGGCTTATTTGCCATTTATTTTGTTTCTACAACTTTCCGATGTTATTTATGAACTGATTTCGTAAATTGAACACCATTGGGACCTCTTACAAACACTTCGCTTTTGTAGATCCTTTTTTCAAATGTAACATCGTTGGAAGCCCGTTTTTTTAGTTCTTGAGCGTCATGCTGTTTTAACCTTGTATTTGTTGTATCGCAAGTGGTGCGAGCTCAGCTTCGCCTCTGTGTCGAAGTTTGTTTTTAACGTTGGTTCTAACCCAAAATGTATACAACACAAATCTAGAAAAACATTCTCGAATTGTGGTAGAATTTTTTCGGCTTTTTCAAACAGTCTTCATTTGACATGGCGGCTGTCTCCTCAGTTTCTGTCGGCTAGTTTGTGGTGTAATGTTTGCGCTTTTGTCTCCGTGTATTGATCGTGTCTTGCAGTGATAGTGAAGTGGATCGATGAAATTAATCAAAATGCGACGAGGGCATCTCAAATTCGCTCTTAGCATTTTCTTCCTGCATTGAATTTTGGAACCGATATGGTTGTTACGAAACAAAAACAGGTGCTTCCTACTGACCTATATGCCTGCGTAGATTGTATTCCTAGAAGACAGCGACAACGTAGATTGCTATGGGTTTTTGCACCCGTAATGTGATAACGCTAGTGGTTAGCAAGCGTTATTAAATCGGAAAACGCTTTCATTCATCATTTTCTCGTCGACCAACAGACATATTTTGGGAATATCTGCGTTTTAAATACCCTTTTTCTTTACCCTTGCGATAAGCAAGGTTATTGCAATCGGGTACTAGACTTTTTTCCCTTAAATAACTTTTGGAACAGGACTCACTCCTGGACCTGGACTCCCTCACCTCTTTGTCCTCGTTGCAAATCAAATCCTCTTCCCCTCTGTTGCAAATAATTAGCATGTTTTGCGTTTCATACTGTTTCATACTGATAAATATCCCAGCTTTTTGAAATTTGTTTTTTGTGTTGGTTGTAAGTTTTCCACCGATTTTTTTTGTTTAAACAAAATATTTGTTGTCCTTTTTTTGGCTTGATAGATTTCGGTCTATGTTATATGTGCTTAGTGGCCTCATACTGAGCAGTTTACTTAGCAAAACCATTTTTGTGTGCGTATGTGTTTTCAGCGAGTGATAATTTTGAAATTTTTTTAATTTCAAAATTTTTTGAAACTTTTCGGATTTTCGTTTGACCTTTTAGCGGCTTGATATGATATGTGCCTATTTTATATCGCCTTAGTGGCCTCACATTGCGCTGTTTGAAGTGCAACAAGTTTTCTATATGCGTGTATGTATTTTGAGGGAGAGGAGATTTTTTTAATATCCAATTTCTTAAATTGTGGCCTCTTATTGCGACGTTTGCTGTGCAAAAATTTTTCTGTGTGCGTGGGTGTGTTTTGAGGGAGAGCTAAAAATAAAATTTTGTCTGGGCATGTTTTTTTTTCACATATATCTCATTTTGATAGATCTTTTTGCATGTATAGTTATAGAATTTTGATATTTTCATTGTTTGGTTGATGGTTCTTCGGCTTTATTGTTGTCGATTAAGCTTTCGGTTTAATTTTCAAAATGTGTATATCACCTTGAATTCAGTACATATGTGACATATATGGACTGTACATGGTTTTCAAATTCCGCTTTAATTCCGTCGGCTTATTTGCCATTTATTTTGTTTCTACAACTTTCCGATGTTATTTATGAACTGATTTCGTAAATTGAACACCATTGGGACCTCTTAAAAACACTTCGCTTTTGTAGATCCTTTTTTCAAATGTAACATCGTTGGAAGCCCGTTTTTTTAGTTCTTGAGCGTCATGCTGTTTTAACCTTGTATTTGTTGTATCGCAAGTGGTGCGAGCTCAGCTTCGCCTCTGTGTCGAAGTTTGTTTTTAACGTTGGTTCTAACCCAAAATGTATACAACACAAATCTAGAAAAACATTCTCGAATTGTGGTAGAATTTTTTCGGCTTTTTCAAACAGTCTTCATTTGACATGGCGGCTGTCTCCTCAGTTTCTGTCGGCTAGTTTGTGGTGTAATGTTTGCGCTTTTGTCTCCGTGTATTGATCGTGTCTTGCAGTGATAGTGAAGTGGATCGATGAAATTAATCAAAATGCGACGAGGGCATCTCAAATTCGCTCTTAGCATTTTCTTCCTGCATTGAATTTTGGAACCGATATGGTTGTTACGAAACAAAAACAGGTGCTTTTTTAGTTGTAGAAAACGTGCAGCCCAAGATCAGTGCCGACGTGAGGCTGTTTGCACAGCCGGAGGAAGAATTGTCGGAAGGTGAGTGGCAAGCCGTTCCTACTAAGGTTAGCAAAAGCACGAGTGGTCCGAAGTCAAAGGAGCCGGATATGGTGTCTGTTGGAATCGACAGTAAAACTGAAGGGCGTGGTCAGAAGACTGGGATACCTGGCAAACAAACCCAAGCTACCGAGGTACGGTGAAAATGCATCTCAACTAGCTATTGATAATCTGGTTCATACGAAATTCAGAAGCAGTATATGACATAAACCTCACATTCTAGTATTTTAAGAGGAAATAATTGAGTCTTTTGTTTTCGCAGAAAAAGCTGGCACCTGTTGAAACTATCGCCGCGAAGAGCGATAGAAATCTGAGTAAGTTTCACGAAGCGCCTCGGGTACAGGTCTCACACCAAAGTAATCTGCCGCACGGTGAAGGTTCTCCCCAAAGTGAAAATCTCGAACATTCCGACTCGACTGAAGAGTTTACGGGTGAGTGACAATTGTGTTCATACCTATACAAATCTGTGCAATTAATTGTCTTTTCCTTGATTGATTATTGTACTTTAACTTATCATTTGGCCGTCCTGGTTTCTTTTGATTCTGAAAACAACGCATGTTTTGTATGCTAATACCTTTTATTGATCCGACTGAAAAATGAAAAAACTAAGGCTGAGGTCTGTCGAAAATCTCTTTGCGATTACCCAGGGTATTGTGTTACCGGGTACTAAATTCGTGTGTTTTCCATCAGAAACTTTCTTCGCATAACTGTTGGGGGAATCCTCAGATATTTTAATTAGCACATAATGTTTTAACTACTAATTTTGCCCATTTGACGCAAAGGTAACACGCGTGTTACGACAAATTTCACATGCGGTAAATTGGTAACTTGCGTGGTACGATTCTGGCTAAGAATTGTAGTTTTGCTAACTTCATATTTTCTGCTGTAACCTTTAAATATCGGTTTATCGCGTGTCTGCTTTTTAAGCTTTTTTTGGCTAGTTTATCGGGCTAAGGTAGCACGGAATTTTCTTGAATGTTGACCCTTGAATGCTGACTCATTAAGAAGTCCTTGAGTGGTTAGCAGATTGTTACGTTTTAACTTATCACATTTATTTTTATCAGTTACAAACTTTGTAAAAAAACTATTTGATAAATGACTTGGGATAGATTGTCAATTGAGAGTTTTTGAACTTTAAGTGTGTAGTCGAATGAATTGTGGTTATTATTGAAAAAAGAAATTTATGAAAAACATGTTTTACACATGGTTAGTTTTTCTATTTATTTCTTGGGGAAGTTTGTGGCATATATTTCGTTATTTAGAAGCTCCACTTTGCCTGTGTATTGGTATGATGATATGATCAATGAACTCTTTAGAATCGCATTCAAACGTCATGCTGACTGCTGAGAACCCGAGGTCATTTAAAAATCAACCCAAGCCCATTCCAGTGAAAATCAATAACGCCGCAGCTAAGCAAGTTTCTAGCCGAGTTTCCGCGAGTTCCAGGAAACCTGAACCGCTTCCAGGTAGTTCCGCCACGGTTACGTCGCGCGTGAAGCGAAATAGCGAGAGGAGTAACGCCAGTGTGGGATCCAAGGCGTCAAAGAAGGAAAATGCTTCTACTGATGTCCCGGCTGAGGTTCAGAAGCTAGAAGATGAGCTGAAACACGAACGCAACCACAGCCAAGACCTAATCAGCAAATATCTTCTCCTGAATGAGCAGCTTGAAAAGGAAAAGCAGATGATAGGATCCATAAACGAGGAACTGCAAAGGAAAATCCAAGAGTGTGCGTCACTGAGATCTCAGTTGAGCGTGGCTGCAAGTGCACAAATAGTAGCAGTTCCAGATGAAAGCCAGCTGGTGATTGAGATGAAGAAGAAAGATCACCAGTATGGAGTTTTGCACCACGAAAAGATGTTTCTACAGACGGAGCTGGAGAAAGCCAGATCGAGGTTAGTTTTTAAAAGACTATAGCCACAAATTGTTGAGCTGGCTGGAGGTTAAAAGATAACCGAGTCCTGCATGACCTTAGCCATCGTAATCTTTATTTACATTTAATCTAAATCAAGTGCATAAATAATTTTTCGGGCGCATAATTTTACGTGTAAAACGTCGTACGTTCGCTTGAAAACAAAGATTAATTGATATTTTTGATAAACAGCTTGGCTAACACAATCACCGAATCATTTGACAGCTAGATTTAATGGCAATTCAAGTTGAAACGACTGATAGACACAGAGGTAACGTCCATTTTTGTGGCGACAAAAAGTCCTCTGTAGCAGCTGGCGAAGCGACCTGAACTGTTACGAAAGCTTTTTTTGGCTTAATTAACACGGCACGGGCTTCTCTGAAAAATAAGCAACATAAGAGCGCTATTTTGGTCTGTGAAGACCCTTGTATACGTTTTTGTTATTTTTTAACGAAAAAAAAAAATAGATCACGCTCAAAGAAATAGCGCGAAAAAACTTGAAAAAGTTCTAGTTTCCAAAGTGGAATTTTATTTTAAGGTTTCTCAGCGGAATAGAAAATTTATTTATTGATCCAGTTTTCTCAAATTGAGTTTTTTTTTTAATCAAAAAGCTCTAATCATGAACTGTTCGTGAGATTCAGAGAGTTTTAAGGCCATATATATATATTTTTGAATTTCGAAAGTTGAAGTTATTTTTAAAAACATGGCAGTATTTTTTCTGTTTTCCTGTGCTCATTGACTCTTTTCCAACTGTCCGTTTTAACTTATCATTTGATAGCTTGATTTGTTACAAATTCGAATTCATTGGCTTCGAATCCGGCCAGAACCTGTTTCTTTCATCAAAAAATTTCTCGTTTAAAAATATGGTCGATTAATCGTCTGTTTGTCTTCTTTTGTTTCGGCTAAGTTGGGACTCTTTTATGAACTATAAGTGCGTTAAGAGTGTATAACGCGTTACTGCAGTGATAAATTTAAAATTCTAAATATACTATATGGAGGAATATGATACGTCGTAGATTTGGTCAAGAAAATACCGATGATGAAAGTTATTTGAAATCCAATCAATCGTGGTTTGAGCTAATTCATTACACAGGCAAGTTGTTTTATTTGCCATTTTTTGCACGTTGCTCATGCGAAGTTTGAGTATACGAAATGTTTTTATCGGCTTATTATTATTCGGCAGTTTGGGAGATCCAACTCGATTGGTTTGGCGTAATAGATTAAGATTCTGTCAACTGTTTTAAAATGGGTGAAAATATAAACGTCCTTAACATTCGCCTAGAGCAGGGAGCTAGACATCATATATAGAGATGCATGGAACAATGCGTCAACTAGGGCTTCATAAATCAGAATTTTGTTCACGCCAAATCAAATGACCCCTTCAAGAAGCAATCGACTGTTGATATTTCAGATAACTCTGTCCGATATCTCAAATTAGTCTTTGACATTTTGATGAACAAATCATGAAAACTTTGATATGCCTTCAAAGTTATTCATGACGCAGAAAGCGAACCAGCCAAACTCTCAAAATCAAATGTGTTCATGTTTTTTTACTACTAGCTCTGTTCGCATTGAACGCTCTGTAGAGATACTTCATGTATAATGCTGAATTTGAATTGGTAAAAGGCGTAATGTAACTGACGTCAAATTGTATTAGCAAATAATAAGAAATTGCCGACGAATCTGGCAGTTACATTACGTGGGAGAAAGACCATATATTAAATTTTTCATGAGTTTCGAAGACTGCTTAAAATAAAGGCTGTTTTGTTAAATTTTCATGTTTGCAGTAGTTTTTAAGATACCATGTAAAAAAGAAGCATTAAAATTATGCATCTTAATCAAATTAAGCAAATTTCCAACATCACGTGAAAAAAAAACATATATTTCTGTGGCCAGTAAGTAATCGAAAGTCTTGAAACTAAAAGGGTAGTGTCTTCGAGGTAAGAATTTATATTTTCCAAGGAGCTTTTTGACAACAAAATATTGAAATTCGCATCGTTTTGTTTTCTGAGCGCTCCTCAAAACTACAAAAAAAAAATAGCAAAATGCTCATTGCGACTCTTCGGTGGCTGAGGGCAAAATAACATAGTTCATTATGTGTTTTTGTCCTATAGGGATCTTTTTAAAGATCATTCAGCTTTTAAGAATAATTGTTTATGATTGATTCTTTTGTGATCTTAGCTCGAACGATGTGCGTCGTGAGCACCAGATGAAACTGCAGGCGGCAGAAAGTCAGTTGAAGAAGATCGAGAGTCGCAACAACGAGTTGCAGGATCAGTGCAATAAATACGAGACCCAACTCAAGTCCGCAGTCAACAACTCAAACAACCAGGTCTCTATACTGAAAAGGGTAGCTGTTAGTTACTCCGCATGGGGCGCATAATGTTCCGAGCACAGTTATTGCCACTTTTTATACGGCTTTCGAAGTGAAATGATTAACCCTACGTTTATAAATTGAATTTCAAGAATTTATATAAATTGAATTTTTTATTTACGTTAGTAAGAGTCAGTGAAAGAAATGGTGACAGTTGTCACTTTCATATGTCGTGATGATTTTTGTTTCGTTTTTTTTTTCTTCAGAAAAACGTCTGAAGTTTGTTTACGCTGAAATTTCTTTTGCGGTTTGACTTTGATTTCTTTTCAAGGTTAAAAGTTTATTTTTTCTTCTTTAAAGCTTTTTTTTTAATAGACTGGAGAGCTTCGGAATTTTTGAATTAGTTTAAGCGTACGCTGTTTTTTGTTCGTGACTTTTTAAAACGCGATCAAGAGTGAATGTAGTCAAGACTCTTATATAGGTTAAGATTTTTTTGCAGTTTGCAGGAAGAAGTTTCAGGCTCAAATTTGATTTTAACGGCTCGAATTTTGTTATATTGAATATATAATTTGTATTTCGAAAGTTGAGGTTTTTTTTCTTTCTTTCTTGCGTTCGTCTCTTTTCCAATTGTCTTTTGGCTGTGTTTTTTTTTCTCGCCTTGAAAAAGTTTGGCAGACCTTTTTTGATTGATTTTATTTCTTTCAATTTTTTTTTGGCTTTTAATTGAAAGTGTCTGAAAAATCGCAATCGTTTTGCAGTGTTCCGAGCACCTTTTGGTTATGTTTTTCTTCTTGATTCCGATGTGGAGCTTAGCCTTTGTGAAATATTGTACAGCTGTGAATTATATCAAACCGTTCGTTTTATTTCCTCAGGCTAACTTTGAAGAGAAGGAGAATCGTCTCTTGTACCAGATAAGCGGACTGGATGAAAAGGTCAAGGCCATGGCCAGGGAAAACGACGTGTTGCGACAGAACCACGAAGGAACCTACGCCGAGATGTCGAGACTACAGGACTCCAAAATAGCTTTACGCAAAGAGAACGACTCCCTCCGAGGTACGAAAAACCTTCAATTAAGAATACAGGTTTTGTGTAGTTTTCAAGATATGTCGGAAATCGTGTATCACTTCGATGACTAATATTATTGTAAAAAATGGTTTATGATAGCCTTGTGCCGAATTTTTGGAAAGCTTAGGGAAATTTTAAAAATCCTTTTCATTGTTTGAATGGTTTCTGTGATTGTCTAAAGACAATGTTTTGCAAGTTGTGCAAAGCGAGGCTTCGTTCTGTATGAGTTATCGTTACAACATCCAGTCAGATTGAAAATCCACTTTTTTTCCAGTCAGATTGAAAGTCCAAAGATATTTTCTGATCAGAACGCAGTCTATTATAGAAAACAAAACTGTGAAAAAAATGAGATGCTTATAGGGACAACCAGTGCTTATAAAGACATCTCTGCCTGATTTGCTTTTTTTTTGGATTTATCCCGGACGATGATGTTTTCGTTGTATTCTGAGAACACATTAGGATCTGCTGTTTTTGAAATGTCCATGACAGTCTTAAAATTGAATAATCATTTGTTCTGACTCTGTTTATATGGATAAATTGATAATTTCCATACTGCTAGTCTGCTTAGCTGTAATAGAAGTGGCTATTTATGTTTCATGGTTTTATTGGTTTTGAGAAATCTGTTGCCTTTGCTCGGTTGTTCCTATCTTCAATTTCATCGATCGTCGTTTGACTGACTTATCGCATGGGAGTTCAACTTGTTTAAACATTATGTATTCTGCTATCTGGTATGAGTGTGTTCATGTTTTATGGCCGAGATGATGAGACTTAGTTTGAAGACGCTAGTTATGTAATGCAGCTTAAGCAGTCTTTAGTTGGTGTTAAATCGTCTAAGTATCAACTTGGAGATGGAATTAAATTCACATGCTTTCCTACCACTTGCTTTCTCTATCATGACTGACAATGAAGGCTATATCAGTACTTGACTTTTGTTTCAAGTTTTAAAGGGAACAATATATGCGTTTCATTTTTCAAAGCGTACTTGTATGTTTCACTTACACAGATGCTGGTGAAAATAAATTGCTAGTGGGATGCTAATTCGGTACTCGATTTTAACACCGGATACAAAGATATCTTGTTTGCTTTTTCATGCGAGTCTGCCGATAAAAAATGCATGCCATTTTCGCAAAAACTTCAAAGTTTTAATGCGATTTTCCTTTTGAATGATATCGAAAACTCAAAACAGCGTTTTTCAACCTGGTCTATGTATAGTTTAGACTTCAAAGGCACACAGATCTGCGAATATGCGAACAAAAATAAAGTACGTAATTCATGGCTTGTTTACGTTCACAGAAGAAGTGGAAAATCTGCAGCAAACAGTGCTGTCCATCTCCCAGCAGCAACAACAGAATGGACTGGATTCAAGCCACCCGCACCAGAACGGAAGCTTATCATCATCCACATCCACTCCCGACGCCTCTAACGGAGAAGCCATGTCTGCCGGCCATTCCCCTGGTGCAGCATATGACTGGTCACAGGCAAACTCAGACATGAAACAGGTACGGGTGTTCCACAAATGAACCGAAAAAAGTTGTTTGTTTCAAGCAACATAACAATAATAAAAATTCGATATCAGAAATTTGTTATATTTCAGATTATTACTTGCAAAATTGAGTCTATTTGTATTTGTGCCACCTTTGCTGCATAGCAGTGGCAATTTGTTAGCATATGTAGATACTTTATTTTTGACTAGTGTTTGCCGGTTGTTAAGCGTTCGTGGCCGAAAGGGGAGGTTGTGAGACTCCATTTCTCGAGGTCACAGGTTCGAAGCCCATACGTAGCAAAGTTTTACTATTTCGGGGCTTATTTCTATCTTTTTATATTTCTCTTTATAAAGCTGCTTTTTTGTCGAGTTCTCGCTGGTGTTTTAAAATTTGTTCAGGCTCAAATTTACTTTTTTCGCGGTTTGACTTTTGATTTCTTTGTAGGTTAAGTTCATTTCCTTTGTTGAAAGAAAGGCAAACTCCACTATCGAACAGCAAAAGTGAAAAGATCACGAAAAACGTGATCGATTTCTAAATTTGAAAATGGAATTTAGTTTTCAGATTTCCCAGCGAATTGAAAAATATATCTTTTGATAGTTTTCTCAAATTGGATAAATTTTATCGGAAAAGTGTCAATTATAAAATGTGTCAGAATTTCAAAGAGCTTCAAGGGAATTAATTTTTTTCAAAAAAACAAGTCGCTTAAACAAGCAGTAGGTCCTAAAGCGAGGCATCATAGATCAAAAAAATCAGCCGCAAACAATTTTTTTTCAGATGCTAGTTCTTGTAGCAGACCGGTCTTTAAGCTGAGCGGTCTTTAGAAATATTCCAAACAATTTACAGTTTGGACCGCTTGAAACGCGGAGTCTGCAGGCTGTCAATGCTAACTCCGCAGCGCTTAACTTTGAGTGTTATTATGCGCCGTGCAGAAGTTTTTGATCAGTTTTTCATTTAGATTTTTACACGAGTGTAGTGCGATAGTACGATGCAACTTTGTTCCAACCTAGGTCTCAAATAAAAGTGCTATTTTTGGTGGCTTTTTTGAATCTGGTGTTTGCATTAGTAGTGCTTTGAAATTTGACAAGTAAAAAGTTAATGCAGTTGATGATTTTAAGAGGTCACACTCTTATATAGGTCGCGATGATTTTTTTTCAGGAGAAGTCTTAAATTTTATTCAGGCTCAAATTTACTTTTTCGCAGTTTGACTTTTGATTTCTTTTGGTTCATTTCTTTTTCAAAGGCAAGGAAAACTCCACTATCGAACAGCGAAAGTGTAAAGATCACGAAAAACGTGATCGACTTCTAGTTTCGAAAGGGGAATTTAATTATCGAATTTTCCAGCAAAATATAAATTTTACCTTTTATCCAGTTTTCTCTAATTGGCTTAATATAATCAAAAAAGTGTGAATTATATATATTTTTTGAATTTCATCTATTTTTTTTGAAGTTCGGAAATTGAAATTTTTTCAAAAAACAAATCAGTGTTTTTTTTACTTGCGTTCATTGACTCTTTTCCAACTGTCTATTGGCTAAGTTTTTTAGGTCAGTTGTTGCCTTAAATTAAAGCGTTTTCAAAATTTCTGTTGACAACTGTCTATCTATGTTCATATTTCAGCTGAAACTGCAAAAAAGGGTTGGTTTCACGTGTATTATTAATGTTTAAACGTCATCTAACTTCATAATTCTCCATGGTGAATTGTCAATAGACGACGTGATGTGGCATTTTATTTGGTTTTTCTTTCTTGTAACACTTGCGACAGCAAGTTTTGTGTAATCGTGAACTTGAATCTTCTTCCCGTAAACAACTTATGTTACAAATCTGTAAAATTTTGAGCTTTTCTATTGAACCTTTACAACTTCCAGGTTACTTCCCACTTGATCGAAGCATACGAAAATTTAGATAGAGCTAGTTTTTAAGAGTCGTGAACATAGTGAATACTGTTATATATGTTTTTGGTAATTTTTTTGTTTATTTTGCTGGAAAAAGTCTTAAAACCGCTCAAAATTAATTTATACGCTAAAGTTTGGTTTTTCGCGTTTGACTTTTGATTTCTTCTTAAGTTCACTTCATTCCTTTTGGTAAAAGAAAGACAAACATTCGAACAGCAAAATGTATATGTCACAAAAAACGTGATCGACTTCTTGTTTCGCAAGTCATTGACGCTCATTGCAACTGTGTGTTGGCTTTGTTACTTTTCGGCGGATTGATTAAGAGTATTGAACTTATTGAAGACTCTTATATTGGTCTTTCTTTTTCAGGAAAAAATCGCAAAGTCCTCTAATAACTACAGATGTGCATTCATACATATTAATACATTTTTCAATGCACTTAGGTATATATGCACTTTTTAAGTTCAATAGAAACTCATCTGCTGAAAACTACGTAAATAGCTCTCTCCAAATACGAACGTTGAAATGGCGCAAAAAAAAAGTGAACAATTTCTAGTTTCAAAAGTGGGATTTAATTTTAAAAAATTTTGCGGAACAAAAACTTTACCTTATGATCCATTTTTCTCAAGTTGGTTTAATGTTATCAAAAAAGCGCCAATCATAAATTGTTGTAGAAATTCAGAGAGCTTTAAGGGCATCTATTTGTTTCTTTGAAATTCGTAAGTTGAGATTTTTTCAGCAAAGTCAGTGGCGTATTTTTTTGTTTATTTGCCTTCATTACTCTTTTCCAACTGTCAGTTGGCTATTTATGTGGAAGCTAGATTTTGATTAATTTGCCTTATTGAAGGCAAATTACGAGCGCCAAAAATAGAAGTTATAGTTACGCAAATGAATGCTTGTTTTTGAAAGTTGATTGTTTCGACCATGTCATGAAGTGACTGGAAGGAACTATGGCTTAGGTTGTGGTTTTCTTGCACTTATTAGGTACCTCAAGGAAAGCTTGTATGGGTTCAAGCTTTGGTATCATATTAAAGCCTTGTTTATTGTGAATCTGGGTCAAATAGTTTGCGAAGGGCTTCTTTGTGTGAAATTTCATAATTGTTTATGCTTTTAATGAATTTATTTTACTCGTTCAGTTTTGGTTTGTATTTTAGTTGACCCAACTGCAAGCATCCATTTCCTCACTAAGCGAAGAAAACTCGACTCTGAGAAAAGAAAACGAGGAGCTGAAAAAGCAAGTACATTCCATGAATATTGACCCTAATGGCAGTAGTAGTCCAGTTGGACATAATGGATTCTCAGTGGACTCAGACCCAGACAGCAGTGGAGATACTCTTGCCAATGGTAGTTCGATTCGCGGCAAGGCGGAAATAAGGGCAACAATAGGAGCAGATAGCATATCACCGAGTGAAGTGGGTACTCGACTCAAAGACACCCTGATGCGACTGTACCCAGAAGAGTATGCCAGCAAGCAGCCCATTGCATTCCAGTCAAATGTACTTCATATTAATTTTAAATTTCTTTTTGCTTTATGCTCTTTTTTTAAGAGGAGTTTTTCTTTAACAGCAAAAGTGAATGAACAGAAAACACCTTTTTCCAATAAACTGGCAGTTACCGGATTATTAAAGGTATGCAAAATTTTTGGTGATTTAATCCGCTGCCATTACTGTTTTTTTTTTCAGTAGACCATAGTTTTTAGCAGTCCTAAAAAGTAAAGGTACTTTTTTATCAGCGAAGTTAAGGTCGCGTGGTTTTCGTTTTTTTCCCTCGGTAAAGTCTTCTCGCTCAGTTTTATGGTCCGGCGGTTTGTCTTTTGGTTTCTCATTAAGTTAGCATTGAAGTATCAATCATAACAGATTCTTAAAATTCAAAAAGTTTAAAAGCGCTGTTTTTTCTTTGAAACTCAGAAACTGAAAGTTTCAAAACAAATCAGCCATTTTTTCTTGTTTCTCGAGTTCATTAACTTTGTTTCCCGATTGTCTGTTGGTTATCTCTGTTTGCTTGTTTACTTGTGTAGGACTGGGTGACACTGGTGGCGCTTCTGGAGACCCAGGCGACTGCGAGAGTGGAGGCACTGCAGCAGAAGGAGAATGGACTGGAGGAGGAGGTGGAGGTGCTGAAGAGAGATCTCTACCAGCTGAGTTCGGAGAAGGAGGATTTGCAGAGCAGGAGCACCAAGTATCAGACTGCACTCGCTGCCACAGTCAGTACATCACATCTTTGCTACTACGATGCTCAATTCAACATTACTTGATCTCTTTCCTTCATCTCCCTCTTTCAACAGTCTTTTTCTTTCCATGCAGATTAATTAACAGCAAAATGTAAAGTTAATGTTAGGAAACTTCAGCAAGCAAAATTAGGGTCATAACTACGGAAAATTGAAATGGAAATCGGGGAAATCGACTTCAATAAATTTTCTACTAGATTTTTTGCTTATATGTCAATTTAGTGATTTGCTAATATTTCAATTGCAGGAGGCCTCGGTGACAAAGCTGGACCTGGCTCTGACGACAATGGAGACGGAGTACAAGGAGAAGCTGAGATGTCTGTCAGAGGAAAATGAGTTGCTCAGACATGACACGGACAAAGTTGTCGACCTACAGATGGAGCTGGACCAGGTTAGTCACTTTCTACATTTTACCTTACTCTTTCCTTATTACAGTAGAGGAGAGTTCTTAATTGCAGTCATAATTGGAGTAATGTAGTAGTAATTGAGGTAATAATGTCAAAGTATGCAACCTGGATGGGAATTTTTTTTCTGGGCTGGAAATTTTGGTACAATTTTCAGCAGATCTTAATTTCCTGGTAGAACAATTTTACCTGTAGGGTTAAGCTGTAGAAGAAGATGGTATTGTATAAAAATTGGATTTGCTTAATCTCAATATCATGCGATTATTGATACTATCACAAAAACTCATGTCTTGTAATAAAATTTGCTGTTTCAGCTCCAAATAGAAAATGCCAAAATGAAGCAACATCAGGTTAGTTTAACCATGCCGATTCCGGATTTGAATTAGTAATTTGTGAAAAGAAGCAGATGTACAAGAGGTTAGGATATTTTGTGTCGTGCTCCGACTGATGTGTTGTGGTATGGTAAGGCATCTGTTGCATAATCTGGTTTGGGTCTCCTTATTTTCCCTTTTCAAACATTTCTCACATTGCACTGAAATTTAGTTATATTTTCCATCACTGACTGCAATTACATGTCGCAATGAATCCGTTTTAAGTTGTTCTGTAATGGGATCGACGGTTGAGATATAAAACATGTTTCAATCTGTTAGAGTCTGATCTTCAATGTATAATGATGAGAATAGATTCGATAAAAAATTCGAGATTCCTAAAATTTGATTTTAAAAATGTCGATGCAAACATTAATGATGGGAAGTGTATGGAAAGGGAAAGCGAGGAGATCACGATAGAATTCTGGAACTCAATTTTACTGGAATTTGGCCTGAATGATGTGTGTACTGGGGGCGTTTGTGTAGGGTGAGCTGGAGCAGAAAGTCACTGCACTTAACCATGACCTCCAATCTCAGAACTGCTCGTCCGACGAACAAGTGAACAAACTGAAGGAAGAGAAAGATTCTCTGATGGCTTCGCAAGAAGAGGTTAAGAAGAAGTTGGAGGCGGAAAACGAAACATTATTGAATGAGAAGAACAAGTTGCAAAGCGAACTGAGTTCGAAATGTGGAACTTCAGAGGAGCAAATTCAAAATCTGAAAACAGACTACGAAAACGTTCGGGCTAATCAGCAAAGTGCACACGAAAAGATCATTTCAGATCTAAATGCGAAATTCGACAGCGATAATACGAACTTGCAGAATCAAATCAAAGAGAAAAATGCAATTATTGATAATTTAAATGGTGAAAAAGCAAATCTTATTAACCAAATAAATGAGAAAAATGGTATAATCGATCACCTAAATAACGAAGTTGGAAATATTAATCACCAAATTAATGAGAAAAATGGCATTATTGACCATCTTAATAGTGAGGTTGCAAATTTGAAAAGTCAAATCGATGAAAAGAACGGAATATTAGATAATCTCAACAACGAAAGTGGAAGTGTTAAAAACCAAGTTAACGAGAAAAATGGAATCATCGACCATCTTAACGGGGAATTGACAAGTTTGAATAATCAAGTCAACGAAAAAAATGGAGCTATAGATCATCTCAACGGAGAAATAGGTAATATCAGAAACGAAATTAATGATAAAAATGGAATAATTGATCATCTTAATGGAGAGGTTTCGAACCTCAAAAATGAAATCAACGAAAAGAACCGAATTATTGACGACTTAAATGGGGAAGTTGGAAATTTGAAACATCAGATGGGCGAAAAAGATGGAGAATTGCATCGAACTAAAGATAGTGAAAATAATCTCAAAAATCAAACAGAAGAAGCAAATCGCAGAATTTCAGAGCTGGAAAGCCAAATTAATGGCTCAAATAACGAAACTGGTGCTAAATCAGAAGAAATTGCAAAGTTGCAACAAGCAAATGAGGAGCTACAAAACAGAGCCAAAACCCTGGAAGTTGAAAAATCTGACCTCGAGCAACAGTTGCAAAAGCTGAGTGGACAAATATCAGAAAAAGAGACACATATTAATACCCTAAATGGCGAAAAAGATGCGCTTCAGAAATCTCTCGAAAACCAAAAAGCTGAACTGGAAAAGGTCATAAACGATTCTAAACAGGTAGGTAATTTTTCAATGGATAATGGAGAGTAATCGGTTGTCGAGATAGCACATGATGCGAGCAAATTTTTCGTTGTTATTTTCTTATTTTTAAGAATCACAATTCCTTTTGCAGTATCGTGGCGCTTTGAAGTCGTAGTTTTTTTAATGTGTCGAAAAGTTAGCCGTTTTTTTTTGTTTTTTGGAGCTCTAACTATTTTCGAATCGTCTCTTGGCTGAATGTTGATATCGACGCTTGACGTATGAAGATTTTTTATTGTAAAATTCAACTGGAGCTCATATTGCGTTCTCTTATTGTGCTTGAGATTAGAAACGGTTCTTTATTTGGATCCAAGACTTTTTTCGAGGTTAACAATTTGTTAAGAGTTGTTAACCTAATATAGGTCTTGCTGATTTTTTCGTGTTTTTTTTTTCAGGAAAATGTCATTAATTTAGTTCACGCTCATATTTGATTTTTCGCGGTTTGACTTGTGATTTTTTTTCAAGTTCAGTGCATTTCTATTGTTAAAAGGAAGGCAAACTCCACTATCGAACAGCAAAAGTGTAAAGTTCACGAAAAACGTGATCAACTTCTAATTTCGAAATGGAAATTAATTATGAGTTTTCCCAGCGAAATAAAAGTTTTGCCTATTGATCCAGTTTTCTCAAATTGGGTTAATTTTAACTAGAATGTGTCCATGATAAATTGTTCTACAAATTGAAAGAGATTTAAGGGCATCTATTTTTTCTTCGAAATTCAAAAGCTGAAGGTTTTTGAAAAAAAAAACAAGTTTTTTTTCAGTTTCGTCGCGTTGATTGCTCTTCCAATCTTCGATTGGCTATCTTCTTATATAATCACTGAATTATGTGTGATAGCTTGATAAATGAAAAAAGTTCTTAGTTGGAATCCGACCAGGACCTGTTTTTTTCCTGCAAACTCATAAAAGTTCATCGTTTGAAAACAATGGTCGGCATCTCGTTTTTTTTTGCTTTCTTTTTGTACGCTCACTTGCCACAGAGCTGAATTTATTGTTATTAAGCAATTTTGACAATTAAAAGTCATTTTGATTTATTCGTAACATCAATTTTGGTTTTGGCTCAACTGACATGTACCCAAGAATGGCTGGTTTACTTAGTTGTTTATGAATTATACCGCAGTTTTTTGGATTCCATTTTTCACGCTTGAGTTCATTATTCACGCCTCAACTTGTATATTTTTGTATTGCAAATGATGGCAAATTATTGAAGAAATATATGTAAAAATGGAGCTCACTTTTAGAATTCACTGCGGATTAAGACAATGAATGTTTTAAGTTAATTGAACGCAGTGAAAACACTTGAATTGGCCTTGTTGATTTTTGGTTACTTTTCAGATAAAGTCTTCTAGTCGTTCTCAAGTTTTTTCTGTTTCCTTGCGTTCTTTCTTTTCCAAGTTGATGATTTTTTAGGAAGTTTTAAAATTTGTTCAGGCTCAAATTTGACTTTTCGCGGTTGGCTTCTTTTTTTGAGCTCAGTTCTTTTGGTTGATAGGAAGCTAAACTCCACTCTCGAACAGCAAAGGTTTAAAGGCCACGAAAAGTTAATTGATTTCTGATGTCGAAAATGGATTTCAGTTTCTGTATTTTTTTTTCAGACTCATTTTCAAAAATATCGTATCCTATTCAGAAATTCAAAGAGCTTAATGGCCTTATAGAATTGTTTCTTGGAATTTCTTTGCGTTCATTGACTCTTTTCCTAGTGTCTGTTTTTTACTTGATATTTTCAGAAGCTTTTTGAAATTTTTTGTTTGATCTTTTCATTCTTCTTCTATTTGTGAGAAATCAATAACTAGCATCTTCTAGATTTTTTGAAATTTTGATTCTCTTTGATTGTAATAATTAGAAAATTTTGACATATTATTTACGGCATAAAAAATTGTTCCGATTTTCCTCCCACTTTTATTTATCATTCGCCTGCTTTAAGTGTGTCAAGTCGGCTTCAATGAATCATAGGGTTCAATGAGTGGCTATATTGCACCTACTTTTGTAATATTTTGAATTCAGAAAAATTAAAGTAATTTTTGCCGTTTTTTCAGAAGCTTTTTTCTGAATAAAAATCTAATTTGAGTTTTCAGACGCTTATTGGCTTTTTTTGGTTTGAGAACTTATTATTTTGTTGTTTTGACCTTCGATGAAAGTGATTCAATTTTATGTCCGTTCTAATTTTTTGTACAGACTTGCGGGTTTTGATTTTTTGACTGCGTTTTTAAGAATTTTTATAGCATCTGAATGGCATCAATACCTTCAGCTCAAATGAGTAACCACATTTCGCCTGTGATCATTTCCGTGAGAAAAACAACGTGCGAGATACTTCGTTGTATTGAAGCATTAGCGGCGATTCAACCTCGCTCAAAAATGATATAAAACTTAATTCAGAGAAGGTTTTTTTAATACATAACTAGTTGCGAAAAAAATCAGTTTGTCACATTGTTTTATGGGAGACTTTCAAAAGCTGAAAAATTTTCAGATTTCATAGTTTCACCATTTTGTGATTCAAAGTTACTTTCATAGGCGTCAAGGGGCAGTCGGAATATTTCAGGATTCGCTATGATATGCGCAGTCTTTTCTTGTTTTTTTAGATATCAAGGGAACATTGGATTTGGATTGTAATGTTTTCTTTGTCTATATTCTTCTTTTCATAAATCGCTGCCTCTTTCCAATTTTCTGTAAATTGAGGCAAAGATGAGTTTTTTATTCTTCTTTGCCTCTTTCTTATTATCTATTAATTGAAATGTTTGAATTGTCTCGAGGTCTAAAGTATTTTAAGCTGGCAACTTTCTTGGATATTTTAGAAATGTTCTAGATATTTTGTGCAATATATGATGTTTTTTTTTCTGTTTTTGTAACCATTTGTGTTGTGCGTCTCAAGTTACGTGCAGCGCTTCTTCGCCTGTGTTAGAAGCTCACCTGTGTTAGAGTATCAAAGTTTTCTTACAACGCTCTTTTTTCGATTCATTGAGTTCACATAATTTTGCCACTGTCATTTGTTTATGTTTTTAAAATAACGCACTCTATCTTACTTAGCTTTTTGATGCCCTTTTATTTACTAGGATCCTAAACTCTAAAAACAAAACTAAAATTTTCTGCAAATGATAGCAGGCAAAATGATCAGTGATAATATTATTGTAGCATGTTTTTTCTTTGTTAACAGTTAACAAGTAAAATTCAGCAAACTGAGTATCTGTTGCAAGTTGAAAGTCTCAACTCGGCCTCTGAAAAAGCTCGATTATCGTCCGAAAGTAGCGAGACGATTCAAAAGCTCTACGAGGTAAAACTTCAGTGACAACAAGTTTTATTAATCAATATTAGAGAATATTTTGACAAATTGGTCAAAATTTTATACGGTACTGGTGTGGCCATAATCTACATATTTTTAACTTCCCCTGCGTTGGTATGGTTTCATGACATTTGAATTTGTTTTCTGAATTGTTTTGCGCACAAATCGCACGGCTGGTTTCATTTTTTGTACCAAATTATGATGTTGGTGTATGTTCATTTTCCATATTCAAAGTTGAATAATGCTCCGCACTGAGATGTTCATTGAAAACTTTCTTCAAGTCATTTAGGAAATAATTCGCACAATTTTTTATTGGCTCAGTTTGATTTGTTTCGAATGAGTAATCTGTTTTTAATGGACATCCTTGACTTATCAAATGATTGGACTGCAAAAAGTTCTATTAGTGTTAGTTGGTTTGGGAGTTAAAATCGATAATATCGAATCGGGTTAATTGGAATTGTGAAGGTATTTAAGAACATGTTTCCTTATCCAGGCTTCTATTTCAGATGGAATTATAATAATATGAATTAGGAATCAGTGTTAAATGTTAATTGGCTATATGGTGTTCCTATGTTTTCGATGCATTGTTGTGTTTGAGACTTTTGATTTTTTTTTACAGGAGCATGAGTCGACGGAAAAGAAATTGGCAGAACTTCAGCAACAGATGACCGAAAGTAGCAATAATCTTCAAGCCGAAAAGGTACAATTTAGAGCAAATTAAATTCAATTAAAATGAATACTTTTATGGGCTAAATTAAAAAAGGGAATATATATGCTTTCAATAAGTTGATATATCATTGCAGTGACAATTATTATCAATTAGTTCATCCAAACCAGCCCTTTTTAGTTAAACGGAAGAGAAATGTTTGTCGGATTTCATAGCGTGGATATATTTTGTAGAAAACGCTGGAAGAGAACATCTCCCAGCTGAAGTCCGAAGCAGCTGGTCTGCAACAGAAACTGGATGCAAGTGCGCTCTCATTGGCTGAGACGACTAGCCAATTGGATGCGACCAAGGAAGAGCTGGCAAAGGCGAGGGAACAGGGGGCGAATACTTCGTTGACGAGCGACAAACTCGACACCCAATCAGTGACCTCATCCTCATCTGGAAAAGAGCACAAAGACAAGGAAAAGGTGACAAGAATTTACATCATCATCAAAACTTAGTTCATGCAATTTAAATTGCGGTGTGGGAAAAGTTTTCATTTGTTTTTCATTCATTTTCTATAGGATGAAAATGAGGTAAAGTAAAAACGAGTGCCAAACTTACACCATAATTAAACTGTGAAACCCTTAACAACAGGTAAATAATGACTAATCTTAAAATATGGCTAATAAATTTTAATGGGAGCTTCAAAAGTTGAAAAGCGAGCTTCGAAAAAAGTTTTTAATGACAAGATTGTTTGTTTTTAATGCACATCAACCGCAATTAACAATTTGTTCAGGCTACGTAAAATGGTTGCTTTTCAAATTTATGTGCCAATGTTTTGTGTTCATTTTGTGTGCTTAATGAATAAACTTCATTTCATAGAAAAAGGGACTCGGGTCATTCCTGAAGAAGGTACGTAAGGTCTCTCTTCAACTCATGTAAGATCAATCCATATCCGATCATCATCTGGGTATAAAGGGTCGCTTAGCTCATCCAACGTTCAAATGCAGTCGATGTTATTTAGAGAGCTTTCATATCTCTTCTTTGCCTAACATTTCTTATCCGTTTGGTTCCCTGTCCTGTCCTATCCTATCCTAATTTGCTGTTCTGATATTATGATTAAAGTAAAACGAACTGAACGAATTAGCTTAAGTACGTACTGAATCTGTACGTACTGGTCTTTTCTATTAGGCCCCGCATCAGGGTACAAGTGAGTTCACAAAATGAGCCAAAAAAAAGCTGGCTTGTTATTTACACTTGCGAAGCAATGTGTATTAGTACGAACTTTCTTTTTTTTCCAAGCTAAGTCGCAAATATTGGTACCACTTTCGGGGCAACTTTTACAGTTTTTTCATAGCATGTGCTTTGAAATTCGAATAGTGATAAATTAACACAGTTGTTGCATTTTTAATTCATTAAATGAACTGAACAAAGTGATTTGTTTCAAACAACATAAAAATAATGAAAACTCGACTTCAGAGACATTTTCTAACTCTCGCAAAATATCTCGAAATTTTTGAAATGCATAATTTATACATATTTTGGCTTCATGCTTTGCGATTTGTTGCATGCAAAGTTTGTGTGAATGCCTCCAGTTTGTTATATTCCAAGTTATTTATTTTTAGTTGGTGTCACTTTTGCTGAAAAGCAGTGGCAATATATTAGCAAATGTAGTTGCTTTATTCGTGACTAGTGTTTGTCGGTTGTTAAGCTTTCGTGGATAGTGAGATAGAAACTAAATCTCTTTATTGCAGTAGGGCGCAGATTCGAATCCTACACGTAGACAATTTTTTGCTAATTAGAGGCTTATTTCTACTTTTTCTTATTTCACTTGATAGAACTGCATTTTGGTCATGTTCTTGCAAGTTTTTGCGAAGCGCAGCTTCGCCTCTGTGTTTAATTTTGCTGCCCGCCATACGGTAATTTTTTTTTTAATTTGAACTGATGTTTGAAACACGCAATATAGTTTTAATTGACTTGTAGAAAAGACCCCTCTTTTTGGTATGTTATTATTTCCAAATAGTTTTAATTCTTAAGTCCTTTTTAAGCGTTTTTAAACCAAATGGTCGTAAATATTGGTTGAACCCAATGAACGCCCGATTGAACCCAATTTCGGTAGTGTGACTAATGATTTTTAAGTGCGTAGTCTTATTCGTTTAAAAAAATTGAAAAAAGCAATTATGCTATCTGATAGGCAAAGTAAAATGTGTGTTAACTATAAGCGCTAGTTTTATGAGATGTTAATGGTATGAGATGTTTTAGTATTAATGAAATTTGTGATGACACGTAATCAGGTCGTGTTGATATTTTTTCGCATTTTTGACGTTTGATTTCTTTTCAAGTTCATTACTAATTAGTTTGCTAAAAGAAAGCAAAAAACGCTCTCCAATAATAAAATTTGAATTTGCTCGAAAAGCAAGAATGAATTATAGTTTTGCACACTGTATTTTATACAATAAAATTCTTACTGGGATACAGTAATTACCTAAATCAGCTCTCCTAAATGGAGTTAGCTTTTTGAAAACGTTCTCATCATGAAGTGTCAACCAGTTTGTAAATTTAAAAGAGTAATAAGTTCAAACTTGTTTCGACCATTGAAAATGGGGAGGAACTTTGTATTCGGATGTGTTTTAATCGTGATTCGAATGACATTAAAAATTTACAACTTTTTTTTACAGTGTGGAGAAAAATCGGTTCGAAATTTTTGATTTTTGGTCCAATTTCTAGCTAATTAGGTGACCGTATATGCTTAGAATAACTTACGTAATTACGGCATATATTACGTAATTACACAAGCAAAGCTTGTGTGGTAGTATGAACTCTCTTTTTTTCCAACCTAGGTCGCCAATATTGTTGCGACGCAAATTGCGATAAAATGTGCATTTTGAAAGTGTTCATTTTGATCAATAGCGAACTATTAAGCACAGCCAATGCTAAGGATTTTAACACAGACTATTATTAATCCGACTTTCGTTACGAAAGTAACGGAATATTTGTGCTCGGGGTGATTTTTTTTCTTCAGGTAAATTTCGACTTTTTAACCAGCCATTTTTGACGGGATTTTTTTAAATATTCAAAAAGTGTTGTTGTCCTGAGCTTAAATTATAAAGATATTTCATTTGTGATCATTTTTCGTAAAGTTATGGGGGCTTAAATTATTCAATTTAATTTGATTCAATTTAATCAATATGAGCCTATGTAACCAAAACGTTAACAATGGTCAGGGGCGGATTTAGGGGGGTGGGTACGGACGCCCTCACCCCTCCGGGATTTGACCCCCTGCCGACCCAAAGGGTCCCCCTTTGTACTATTTTGAGATATCCATATTTGGTGACGGACCCTAAAAATGTTCTAAAGGCGCCTTCGACGCCAATGTATACTTGGTATAATCAATGGTATAATCTACTTAAATGCAAACGTTTGCATTTAAGTAGATTATTCTTTTTTTAAACGTTTTTGGCTACATAGTTTCACTCTAATATATCTGGCTCATCAATTTGGGAGTAGTTACAGAAAATTTTTAATTCAAAAGCAATTTTTAAACATTTGCATTTCTAATTTATACCTGTCATGTTAAACTTTTTGGGCTACATGGGCCCACTTCGATATAATGGGCTCAACAGTTTGGCGGTGTTTTCAGGCATTTTTTGGATTGATCAAAAGGCCTATTTTTATGGCAAGTTTCTGACCTTGAAGTCTGCTATTTGATTTGCATCATATTAATTCTAGTAAAATTACAAGCAACGTTTGTTTTTCTATCTTTTGTGTAATGTCAACCTATTTTTGTAATGTCAACCTGATTAATATTCGCATAAGGCTGAAATTGTCACAAGGCTGAAATCAAACAAGAAACGGGCTATTTTAAATGGATGATTTAATGAACTCCAAGTGAATATTTTGGCTTATGGGATTTGATAGCGCGTGAGATTCTGTGTAAAACTTCGGGAGATTTCTATTTGAATTGCAGAATCCACAAGGTTCAGCAAATTATGATTTTTTTGGCATGGAGCTTGTTTAATTTTTTGGGTGAAGTAGATGTGTTCAATTTGTGTTGTCTGGTGCATGAGAAACAATGTTCGTCCTCTAGCTTAGAAAATAGATGAAGTTATTTTTAATAGAGAAGGAAAAGCGCGTTGTTCTGTTCAAAAAGGGTAAAAATACAAAATCTTCTTGATTTGCTTACACTTTCATCGTCTCAAGCAAAATTTGTTCTTTATTCGATTTACACTCTAAATCAGTTCAAGCAATTCATATTTATTGCAAAATTCATCAGTTTTGGATCAGTACCTTTAATGATTAATCCATCTTTCCCTTTATGAAATGCAAACAAAAACTCAGTGTTCTTTTGTTTCAGAGTAAAAACAAGGACGAGAGCTGACAATAGTGTCAAGAAAGTTAGCCATTACACGACACATACTTTGTCCATAGCGCTCATGCCATTTACAATGCAAATGCCATCTCACAACTGGAGCACGAATCATTGCTCTCAAATAACCCGAAACTGTTCACAGGAGAAAATCAAAAGACGTCCACAAACAAATCAGACCACTGGAAATTGGAAAGAGATAAAAACTAGGATTTGAGAGCTTTACAGCAGTTCAGAAAAGTGTTTTTATGTAATAATTTCCACTACCTCTGCCATATGTCACTATAGACTGATATCATTGGGTGAGGTTGCATTTTACATTGATGAATGGACAGAGCTAAAATTAGGATCTGTTGTTATTTAAAGTATTTATTGACTTCCTGTCCAACAGTTAGTTAGACAGGATAGCTAGTGTGTTTGAATCATCATGAGGTCGACCAGGTATTTAAGGGCAATACCACTCGTTGTTGGGTAAAAATTTGCTTTTTCAATGGTCGATCTCGAATGTTCATGCTATCAAACCTCTATTTACTACATACCAAACCGGTTTCTGTTTATATTTGATACACACCCACCATCTTAAGTATAGATATTTCGTTGATGAATATTGTGCCTTCATTTTCCAACCGGTGCTTTGCCTTTTTTTGACAAATTTGAGTTGAAGTTAAACAGGAAGCAAACTTTTTGATTGGGGAGAAAGTTAGACGACACGCAAATTAGACAATCAGAAAGTAACGGAACTTAGACGATTACTTGCATGCAAATGGCGTGAAATTTGTTTATAGACTTAAATTAACTTTTGACTGAGTAAATAATGTTTGTCCAACAGCAAATCAGGTTATTAATGTCACCGTTGAATAATTTATGCTTTTCAAAATGTACTACACTTTTTCAATTTAAGATTTTATATTTAGTTTACAATAGTAATTTTGATCAGCCCTGTGATTATATACTCTTTTTGTTTTTGTGCAACTTCATTCTAAACAAAAAATGTTGTTGGACCAGTTATTATCGTCTAAATTCACAAAGAGTTATCGTCTAAGTTTATTTATTTTACGGTCGTCGTCTAATTTGCTTGTCGTCTAATTTCCTAGTCCCTGTTCAGATGCGTTCCTGAAATCCAATTTCGGCTCTTTTTGCTCACCCCCACCTCACAGAAGCATCAATTTTGTGGTGTAGCGATTGGTTTTACAAGGTTAAATATGAAGACTAAATATATTAGTTATGGCCTAATTAGAACACATGCCATTTTTCATAAAAATCGGACAATGAGCAAAAATTTCACTTGTAAAAAATTGCAGGTGGGTGAAAAAGGAAGAGCCTCACTTTTCACCATAATTGGTTTTAAATATCATCGTAGTCCCGTTTCAGTCATCCATTTATTTTGAGAATAATATAGCGATAAATCGAGAAAAACCAACCGCTGAACTGATTTTTAAGTGTTATTGAACGGAGTCCGAACGAAGCGGGAAAATAAACAGGTTTATTAAATTCAATCATACATTTGGTTGTTGGTTTTTCATTAGAATTACATAATAGAAGCGAAGTTAAAACTAGAATCATAATCACGAAGTTATTTTTTGTTAAGTTATTGCCCCATTAATTTGATTATTTCTGATCTGACTAGACGATCTTTTCAGAGTAGAAACAACGTAGTGTTTCAAGTTTTCTTGTGGTCTTTCAAGTTTTCATTTCTTAGTCGCTTTTTTTGTATAAGCGGCACTTGATGATGTCGAGGCGAGGGTGTGTGTAGTATTACAGAATTGATATACTTAACTAAAGTCGGTGTTTAAATTGTTTAAGGCATAATACATGTAGTTTCCCCAAATGTACTATAAAACTATTAGTGGTGGGAATTTGATTGTTATTGTCAGAATAATAAGATCTGCATCAGAAGTTAAATTGCCATTCTCCATTTAAATGTATGTGAGTAAAATTATAATGATAATAAATCCCTATTGTTTTACATTATTTTAATGAGTTTCCGAGTGAGCTGAATTTGATAGTAGCCAATCACTGAAAATGTCAAGCAAAGATGTTTGGGATCTACTTTACAATCCCCCCTATCGTATCTAACTAAAGAATTGTCACCCCTAAAAATAAAAGGAGTAAATATTTTAAGTAGTTCAGATTTGCTGCATTCTGATTAACAATTCAACTTAAGTAGGATCTACTTAACAATTACCCCCCTTTCTTAAGGGCGGGGGATGTAATTGTTAAGTAAATCCGTTTTTTGACGTGCAAGTTGCACAGAATGCTCCGATCACAGCTCTATCTGCAAATTGCAAAAACATTAAAACTGCGACAGTATTTAAGTCAATCCATTTTCCAACGCAAGTGTCATATTTCGCTGCAACATTTATGCGGTAATTGAACAGCTTATGATATCTAAGAGAAAAGTATGAAAGAAAGTAAGTTAAGGCAAAGGGCATCGTGGTTAAGTTGAAACGACAAGTAACACTTGGTGCGAACGTCCAGCTTCGATTCCCTCATCTGTTTCATATCCCCAATGAGCGGGAGGCAAAAATGGACTGGAACCAGGGCTGTAAAGAAATATATTGTATTTAAATGTATTGGCAATAATTAAAGTACAACTACTTATTTTTGACAGAAAAATAAAATATATTTATTTTATTGGAGCAATTAGTTTTTTAAGGGCAAGTTTGTCATAAATGTGGGTCGCGAAATAGGAGACAACTTCAAATGTGTTTTGTTCACTTCATTTTGCACGTTTAGATTACTTGTTCTTCCGACTTTCGATACGAAAGTAACGGAATATTTGTGCTCGGAGTGGGTTTTTTTTTTCTTCAGACAAATTTCGACTTTTTAACTAGCCATTTTTGACTAAATTTTTTAATATCATTCGAAAGCCATTGTTGTCCTGAGCTTAAATTTGAAAAGATATTTCACCTGTGATCATTTTTCGTAAAGTTATGGGGGTTTAAAGATTGCCATTTTGGCAAATTTTGGATAATTAACGCGAGATATATTTCGCGCTATTAACGCGTAAGCGGAGAGTCAATCCGTCTTAAAATTGCTCCAAATTAGTTGAAAGAAGCTCATTTGCCATAATTGATTGTTACAAGGAGCGAAATCTATCCTTTTGTACTTTATATGGCGTGTGGGGTGGGGGGGGTGCTTTTCATAAAAAAAATTCAAATTTTAGAATTTTTTTTTTAATTTTTACATTTATTTTTAAATGTTATTACTGCTCCATAAAACCTTAAAAGACACTCGGAACATTCAGGGCTTCGCCCTGATACGAGCAGTCTTGTTTACCTTTTACTTCGACATTACGAGGCCAAACTGCATTTTGTGAATTGTAAGCGGATTCCGCAACAAGGATGCTCCCTTTCTTCTTCCATTCTTTCAATATCTTTGAGCGTTCCGACAAAATTTTAACATGTTTGAAGTCTTGTCCCTGAAATCCAAGAAGATACAGACTCAAAATTGAGCTCCTATCTAGTGAAGAGTTTGGCCTCGTAATGGAGGGACAATTTTTGTAGGTAAATAAATGTCTATGGAATATAATGACCATGAACGAGATTATCAATAAATGATTCTCCAACTACATTTTGTCAAAAAAAAATATGTTTAATAGATAAGTTTTAACAGTGAAATAAAAAATATTTATTTTGTGAAACAAATACGCTTGGATATAATTAATACAGCCCTGACTGGAACAAAAATTCAGGATTTAATCGCCAAAAGCTTAAAGCAAACAACTAAAGAATTTCAGAATACTTTTAACGCATTTTCTTAAGAGCGCGAACTTACTCACGCTAATTTTTTTTTTTAAATGACTCCAATTTTGGCGCCAAAATGTCTGCAACTGCAAATTAAACAATTATTTTAGGGCTAAAAGGTCTAAATTGCAAATTTTTTTGCTCAAAATCTTCAAGTATCACTTAAGATTATAAAGGTTCGCCGTTTAATTTTTGATTGCCGCCTTTAATATGTTGAAACTTGTTAATATTTTTGGCACTGTTGAACAAACTTTTCATTTTCGGCATTGTTGAAATGATTTTTTTCGGTACTGTTGTACTTCGGCACTGTTGTACTGCCCCTTTTGAAAGTGTTAATTTGATATTAAGTACAGCCAATGCTAAGGATATTAGCACAGACTATTATTTTACAATAGCCTTTTAGCTTCAAGGTATCATGGATCTGTAGCGTAGAGGTAGAAAAGGAGGCCCGCAATAAAATAAGAGGCTCATTTACTAACCTTTTTAACCCTTTATGACGGGTTATCATCTTACAACTATTGTTGTCCTGAGCTTAGATTCAAAATGATTCTTCACCTGCAGCCGTATTTTGCAAAGTTATGGAGTTTTAAAAATTACGAAGTTGGCATAAATAACAACTTACATAAAAACACATAAAAGCTTGCATAAAAAACGCTGCTTAGTTTGGCTTATTACAGCAAATTTTTCATTTTCAACTTTGTTTTCACTTTGGGCTAAGATAAGAAGACTTCTCCATCGTATGTCTTCCTATACTTCAAATTTTTGAGTTGGACAGGTGCAACCACATGTTTTTAGATAATTACATTTTGAGTAATCCTGAACTAATCAATGAAATTTACAAGTAGACTCCAAGCTATGCCTCATTTTTTGCTCGGCTCTATATATAAACTAAAATTTTAATTAAACTTATATAAAATTATACATACATATATAATAGTATATAATTTTTTGAAATTACTATTTAGATTTATAATTCTTGAATCATACCAATGATATCTAGAAAAAGACCAAAGAATAATCTAGTTTGCGTAAATCATCATAAAATCATCATGATTGCTCAATTACACCACGAGAAACTGCCTTCTGTCAAAATAGCGGTGCTTTTTAATAGCATCTTACAGTCAAGCTGTTTACCAACAATGGTAGTGTAAAAAGCATAGAAATTCCATAAAGAGAGTGGTAAGGTAATAATACTAGAAGTTTTTTTTACCATTTAAGTAGTTTTATTTGTTTGTAGTACAACGCAAATTGGCTCTCAAAATTTTTGAAGCACAGAATTGCCTGATAACATGAATTTCTCCGCACTAATTTTACACAAGAAAACGCTGCGTTATAATGCGAGTTTGCCTTTTTCTTCGCTAATTTTACACTTTTTGAGCTGCCTGTTGATGTTTACAGACGGGTATGTAGGCAGCATTTTTATTCATCGTTATTCCAAAGTGATACTAGAATTCCCTTCCAAATCTTGATTGTTCCGATTGCCTTTTAACATGACTGAACTGGGTTTTAAATTGAAACGTTTGACATAATTTTCATGAATCTTCCTAAGACACAAAATGGCAAGAAAAGTTGTGAGTTATGCATTTAGTAGCGCAGCATTTGTATAACATCACGGGATTCGATTCAATTTGAACTCAGCTGATTTCTGAGCCGGATTAGTTCGCCATGACAATGAAAAACTGCCGCGTAGCGTTAATGGAAAACTGGAAGTCTTAAGGATTTCTTATTAGAAAGCCAATTTGATTATTTCCCCATATTCTAGACAATTTTTTCTGTTGAGCAAAGCAATTTTTGATGCGACTCCACAAGTTCTTCATATAAGCTAAAATATGGGGAAAAAATTTGTCGCGATGAGTTCTAGTTTTTTAAGCTGAGCTATGAATAAAGAAGAAACGATATAAATATTTCAGGAAAAGTATTGCCGTGGTAAAGCAGGGTACAATTTTCCTTTATTCAAAAGTTTTATGATTTCAAAACTATCATATGGTTACGGTATATTCCAAAATAATGATATATGATATTACATCCTATGAAATATAACCCTTCCCAAGTATAACTTTTCAATCCAAAATTATACATTCTGATTTCCTTTGCTGAGTTGGGAAAATTGGTGATGTGATGGCGCCAAATAGCTTTTTATGTATTTTCCCGTTTTTGTGCCATGTGAATTACGCGTTCTTCATGCATAATTTACCTTTGTGTTTTACATTTGCTTTTTCATTTTTTCATTCCCAATTTTCATCCTTTTTCCCTGAGGCGAATTTGCTTCATTCGCTCGCTCGCTCGCTCGCCGTTCTCTGACTTTTTCCCTTGACGTTTGTTAAAAACGCATACGTGAAATGTTGATATTTCATTACAGCAGCGCTGCTACAGCTTCTGTTCCTTTTTGGTCTTTGGCGCTGATAGATGGTGTGCGATTGCTTCTTGCTTTTGCCTTGATTCACTATACCGAGCATATATGTAAGCATTCATAATGTAATGCTTTCCTTCTGAGTTACGACGGCCATTGTGCCATCCATGTTTTTTGCTTAGCGGCCGAGATAGCTTGCTTGGGTCAGGCATAGGCTAGTTCTTTCTTCCCATTCCATACTTACCGATCAAATGCATAGCACACGTTAGACGAAGCCGCCGTGAATGCAGCCGCGAATTTTACCTTCATCCAGTCAGTGTTGTATCTACACTAGCAGCGCAAATATCCGAGCATTTAGCCCAGATTTAAAATTGGGCCGTGCTATTAGATAAATTCATAAGTTAACAAATCTCCCCGTATAACTTGCCCAGGCAGTGTTCGTGGGTATTATAATACATACAAAGCATACACGCATACATAACCTATCCGAATTAATCCCACTGCTGCTAGCGTGATAGTAAATCGATAATTTAACTCAAACCATTACCATTTTCCCCATTTTACATCGTTTCCCACAATCTTACTTTTCCCATTGCCAGAACCTGCGAAAAAGTTGACATTTATTTGGTATTTTTATTACAAATTATTCACATGATAAGATTAAGTTTTGACTTATTTTGTGCAAAGTTGATGCGGTTGGCGCCATTTTTTTTCAAGATAAATATAGACCGTGTTCTAATCTGCTGATTACAGCAACTAATTCGTAATTTTATATTTTAATCTTTTATCTTAAAAAATTACGACCCTAAATGGGTAGCTCTGTATGTGTGCTTTGTGCTTTCACTGCATGATTGCCAACGTATACAAAATTTGGCCAAATTGATTTTGATAACCGATTGACTTGTTGGCACAATTTCAAAATTTAAGCCCCCGATTTTACCCCGCATGCTGCATTGGACGCATGCACTTAAATTAAACCCCTCTCTGTTTTTTTTACGTTATGGTTGTTCTTTGATTTAATAGACAGAAATCGATACTTCTTGTTCCTAATTTAACACCCTCCATTTGATTTTCTCACCGAATAGGCCGTGTTTTGAAAGTATTACTTTCTCTTACAATTACAAATAGCAGCCTAATTCGTAGCCGTGTGTTGGGGCTGTCAGTCAAATTAAATTGAATGCATACTCCCCTTCTGTTTATGTTTATTTATTCCCCGCCTCATCATCACACCACTCTGACTCGGGTAAGTTTTAATGATCAGTCACATGAGGGAGGGATTTATCGTTATTGGACCCGAGCCTAATCGATAGTTGTATTCAACATTGCCCGTATACTCTTATAAAACACTATATTGATTGAGTCAATAGCTTAAATTCTGACCAAAAGCGACTTGCGTTTTGGACCTGAAAATTATTAAATTAGTCCCCGTATTAAGCATGTGAACGATATTTTATTGTTTTTTTTTTTAAATTATCTCATTTTGTGACCAAAGTCACTCATAATCTATCTTAATAACAAGGGTTGTCATAATATTTTTCTCGCTTTGCAACGACTCGCAAACGAACTTTTTCCTGAGACAAGAGTGCAATCATCAAGAAATCAATAAGTTCAGTTACGCAAAACAACCTCATTGAAATGCTGTTTAGTCACATCTGCAAAGTGGTATGAAGCTACTACAGGCCCAAAAGTGAGTGGTTAATGCAGAACGAGCTGAATTTATATCGACAGTTCAGAAGCAAGGAGAAACCTTGCTCGAAACTGCTTTAGGAACTTTAAAAAAGTAACAGTTGCGGAAGACTAGATGATCCAAGTAGAGTTAATCTCTAACTTAAGATTAGCTAATGATTAATTCAAGTTACTTGAACCAGTTGGAATAAACAGACATTCAAACTATTTCACAGTATAGAGATTAAGCTCAGTTTTTTGTTGGTGGGCCTCTACGGTTTAAATCAACGCGTACCTTGAAACCTTGCGCTAATCAAGGTCACTAATTTAAAAAAAAAACAATTATAAGTAGTAAATCATTCAATCCCGGTGAGTCAACGTTTGCAAACTGCACGGAAAACCGTATGGTGTTAGATGTTTTCAACGCGTGAGAAATATAATTCCTAGGAGTTATGGCACACTTTAGGCTAAAGGGCCGAATAATTGTAGTTTCTGCGATTCGTAGAGGATCTATGAAAAGCTATCCAGGCTGTCTAAACAAAGTCCGTTTCTCTTATTTTCCCACATTACAGACGAAGCTGTTTTGCGTCTCAAGGCCGTTTTTTGCTTCTAGAACTTTCATGTGGTATTACTATTGCAGCCGTAATCGATCAGGCTGTGGTAGACCTGAAGCTAGAGGTCATGTGAGAGCTCGTCCTCACACACTATCTTTGCCATAGTATGGCATTGATTTCACGATCTTATAGCGAAAGCCACCACTATGCTGAGGGCCTGCAAGTAAAAGAGACAATTTAGAGACAAATAAAAGAGTAAACCAAGCTGCTGATGAGGATTAGTTTTCAGAAACAGAAACTGGAAACATTGACAATGGCACATAAGTAAGTTAAGTTTTTGTCTTAAGACGGGCAAAGCAACTGTGATAAAAGAGGGTAATGAAGTAAGAGTGCGGGTAAAAACGTATGCTGACACTTTTTGTATTGTTGTCAAAAAAAGCTTTTATAATGAACTCAAGCCTGAAATGTTCTGGTCCTAGAAGCATACGAAGCAAACAGACTCTTTTTTCAATGTAAAATGATTTTGTAATATATCATGGAAAAGTTTACTCTACACAAATATTTAAATGTAGGTTTAAAATTTTGTACTTGATCTTTTGCCCACCAAGTTTGTGATGCAAGAAAAACGCAATAGTCAAAGCGCTCAAAGCCCAAACATTTCTGAAAACGGCAGCCCAACTTTTTTTCTGCAGACAAAATCGCAATGATGATACAATGCAGTAAGGGTAAAGTTAAAATACATAGTAAAAGTGGGCTTATACGAGCTTAGGCAGCACGCAAGTTTTATCAAAGGATCGCTAGTAGTGCGACCACGGTATAAAGAAGGTTGTGTTGACTAGAAAGTTCACCTGATTGGCAAAATAATGAACGAAGACTACACATTACCCAACCTGACAGAGATCTACATCAATCTGCCCTGTTGAGCAAGACAATGACGCAAAACGCTACAATCAAAACCCCAGAGAGCTGTCAAGTATTTGCCTGGGGTTGTTCTAGAACGCTTAAAAAATTATTTCTAGATCTTCTAAAACTGCATTGAGAACACATACGAACATACGAACATGCATGATGCATGATTTTTCTTCAAGAACAACCCCTTTGTCTACAAAACAGCAAGATAGCAATGCGAAAAGCGAAAGCTTGCGGTTAACAAACGGTTTAGAGAAAAAAATTGCTTTCCAGACAGCAAAGTGAAACCCGAAAAAAAAACTGACAACAGTTTCGTTTTTGTTCTCTTCAAAATTAACTCAGAAATCAAATCAGGTGTTGATACTCCCACGAAGATACTCCCACTCAATTAATTAAAACACGCGTTTTGAACAACATTTGAAGGATCAAAAAAGCTCTACAATTACAATCATTCTCGCCGCTCAGGGAGAAAAAGTATTAATGATTCTTGCAAATAAGCAGACGTTGGGGTTGTCTCTCAAAAGCTATCCGCATCTGAGTGAAACTACTTCTCCATGGTGTGCAAAGCTCTACAAATAGTATTTTTGATGGCATGATTAAAAAAGCTCTTGCCTAGAAGCAAAGTTACTCTGCAAACATTGGTACTTCACTGCTTCAGACGAAGAAGTACCAAACAGGGCATCATTCAGAAAAATCAGACGGGCTATTGTCCTAGTCAGGGGCGGATCTAGGATTTTCTTGAGGGGGGGGGGGGGCGGATTTTCAAAAAATTTTGAAAAAAATTAGTAAAAAAGGCGTTTTTAGGCACATTTTGGAAAATTTTGACCAAAAAATTGCGTTTTTTCGGCGCGCGCTCCCCCCTCAAAATTAGTAAATATTGGCGCCAAAGGCGCCTTTAGAAAAATTTTAGGGTCGGTCGGCCAAAAATGGATTTCTTAAAAAGTACCAAAGGGGGGACCCTTTGGGTCGGCAGGGTGTCGAATCCCTGAGGAAGGGGGAGCGTTTGCCCCCCCTCCTCGCCCCCCCCCCTAAATCCGCCCCTGGTCCTAGTGGCATTCGAGTTTAGACTGATCCATGAACAAGAAAAACAAATCGCATATTCAGGTGCTCTCAGAAGCAGAGAAGTTGTCAGAAAAGGAGACTTTGTTCGTAATCGGCGGCGAAAGCGACGGATCAAAACTCTTCTGACGGTCATGAGGGCCGCATTAACACTTTGCTTATAACTCTAGTCTCCGACAGTGGACCCAAATTTGTTAGCAAATTTTTTCAACAACCGGAGCTAGTTTGAGTGAATTGGTAACGTCCGATGTTCATCTTTGGAGCAAATCGAGTGGCCGAAAAACAAGTTCAGACCGTAAAACATGATATGAAGGCTAGGAGAATAACATTGGCAATCATCAATTTTCTCGCATTGCTCTAAAGAGAGCTAATTAAGCAATGAACTAGTGCTGAAAACTTACATTACCGCAGCCAGAAGGCTCATTTTTTTGTAAGATTTTTCAAGTCAAAGGAAGCAAAAAGCTGCTTCGCTATAAAGCTAAATTTTTGCTCTGGAACCAATAAATTTTGTACCATACACAAAAAGTAAGAATGAGCTTTTCTCGTTAACAGTTCAGTCAAGAAATCATAAACATAAAACATGAAAACTCAAATGAAACAAAAAAAACTGGACATTGTTTATTTTCAGTTCGCCTTCAAGACCTACATGGATTTTCTCCACTACAGAAGATCAACGTAAAACAGCATTTTCACACATTTTCAGGAAACAAAAAACATTTTATGAAAAATCCGAAACTAGCGAACATTACAGAGATCTTATAACCACAGATTTTTAAGAAAAAATGAAGTTTACGTTAAAATGACAGCTCATTTCATTGAAAACGCTTCGTTGAGACTTCGAGAGAAAAAAATATGAAAAAATATTTTTATGTTTTAGCTGATATAGTATCACCATTTCCGATACTCTAACTGTTTAACCACCTGTTGAAGTGAGTCAACGATTGTTGGTTTGAAGGTAATGAAAAAACTCGAAAAAAACTGAATAAAATTAGGTTCTCTTATCCTTAATACCCTTCTTGTTTTATGTATAGTAATTTCCTTGATGGTAATTATTAAAAACAGTTAATTTGAAGACAAACTATCAGTCATATAAATTTTTACGCTAGCAGTTAGCAAGCGATATCAAATCGGTTCACTAGTGTTTCTTTACAATTAATTTAAGATTTCCGACAGAACAGAATAATCGATTCATTTTTTCAAATCTGTACTTTTGTCAACCAACAGACAAGTTTTGAACAAGTCTCCACTTTTAAATACGCGCGCTGTTTGGCATAATTTATATTTCGTTTTTCTTTCTATTTGTTCGGCTGAATAGGGTTGTTTTTTTTATTATATCTGCTTCAGCGGCCTCATCGGTTTTTGTGTCGTTTGATGGTCGAAAATATTTCTTCTGCGTTCGTGTTTTTTGAGCACTTTCAATTTTCCGGCTCAACGGATGTCTGCTCATCAAGTCTAGTCGGCTTTGTCACCTCGTCGTAATTGTAATTCCGATGCTAGTTGATCCATCAATCGGCTTACTTGGTCTGTTTCTCTTAAAAGCACTTTTACGCACGAGAATTTTTGTAGATTTAGTCTTTTCGAATTTTTGCAATTTTTCAACTTAGCGGCTCCCGTCTCATCTTCTTGCAAGTAGTTTGCTATGCTATTTTTGTGTTGCTTCGCAAATGCTAATGAACATCTGCTTTATACGTTTTTTAAAGTCACACCCAATAACAACAGTCATGCACAGTTTTTGGTCATTGTGTTGTTATCTGGACGCCTCATCAAAGTTAGATATATTTATCAATTAGAGCCATAAAAATTGCTTGGTTATTTTAACTTTTCTTTTCTACGCAACGAATGTATTTAATAACAATAAAAATTGATAAATTACGATGATTATGGAGGCCAATTGTAAAGAGTAGATTGATTCAAAAACAGAATGGTCCGACTGTAGGTAACGGTCTACCAAAAGGAGTAGAATGGTCCGACTAGAGTCATAAAAACTATTTGGCGAACGTTACGAAATCAGGTATAAGAAAAATTATCGTAAAAATTTCAAGTTTTATGGCTCAAG